TGATTAAATGCATGAGACTTTTTAGGAAAAGTTAAAATTTAAATTTAAATATTCATTAATTAAACATATGAGATTTTCAATATGAAACCATTTTAAACTATGAATAAATGATAAAAAATTCAAATAATGAAATATGAAACCATTTTAAACTATGAATAAATGATAAAATTCAAATAATGAAATTATATTTCAAATATGAATGAATAATTGATAAAATTAAAATGCTAAATGCTATGGAAATGTTATAAAAAATATGAATGAAAAGCAAACATTATTTGTTCGAAAATTCCAGAAAAAAAAAGAAGGAATTAGAAATACGAATTAATCATTTAAAATTTGTTTTTTCAAAATTTTTAAAATGAATGTTAATATAGCAAATAATAGGAAATTAAATTTTATTTGTTAAATATAATTTGTTATATTTATATATATGTAAGATGTTTTAAATTTCTGATAACAAAAAAAAAAAGAACTCAACTAATTTCATTAATAAAAGTAATAATAAGATATATATGTAAATGATTATGTTGACGAAAAACTCATAAAAGAATTGAAAACTCTTTTATCTATAAAAGCATGATGAGTTTATTCTGTTTTTTTTTCTGCTAGTTTAAATCTTAAGAAATAAAAAATAATATTTAAAATATTTCATCATTTATTTTAGCACTAATATTTATTTTCATTCGTTAGGTTTTTAATTTTTGTATTAAATTTAAAAAAAATTTAACCAAAATAACATTTTTTTTTTGTAGCATGGAATTTTTTATTATTTTTAGTTAATCTTTGCATTTTTTTTTTATTCATTTTTATGATTTAAAGTTTGCAAACAAAAGTAATAAGAAATGTTGCATTGATAAAATGATAAAATGATACAATATGAATATTATATATATAAACTTTTCAATTTTCTTCAAATATAACATTTAATCTGATTGCAAAATTACTAATTAATTCAAATCATACAATACTTTATTTTCAAATAAATCGTCCGATTGCTTTGTCAACAACAATCACTAATTAATTTTATCCAAATACAAATGATTTGTGCTGTAATTAATTATCACTGATAAATATAGCAGTAAATGAACAAAAATAATTAAGTATTTAAATTAAATTATTAACTAACCATATGTTTACTTCTTTTTTTGTCATTTTATTACTTTTGAAAAATAATATAATTATTACATAGGTATAGCAAAAGGTTGCCAAACATGTAAAATAATGATGAATGATATCAGTTATAAAAAAGTAATTTTAGTAATTAAAATAATTGCTATATGAGAAAAATTGTACTTCAGCAATACTTTATTTACCAGTTAAAATATCACTATGATAAATACAATTTATCAAAGTAATTACACCATTTATTTAATTTCTAAATATAACTATAACATTTGAAAAAAATACAAAAATAAAATTTTATTTTGAACAAGAAAGAAAAAAAAACGAAAAATGCATGTAAAAATTCAACTAAATTAAATTTGAAAAAAAATTTTAAACCAAATTTGGAAATATAAATATAAAGATAAATAGTGAATACGATAAAATTTAAATTTTATAGCATTTAAGAAATTTTTGCATTTCAAAAAATTTGGCAAAAATTAATTGAATTTCGGACAAATATATATATATATATATAGTCTATTTAAATGTACAGTATGAACATATACGATATAAATATACAGCAATAACAATAACATGACATACTGTATTAATGTATAAATAACATACAGTATTAATATGCAACACAAAAATATGCTATATAAATTTAAATATACAGCATATTCATGTATGTAATAAAAAATTTTCTTCAACAAAAATATTTTTTCTTGCGTAATTCATTTCTTATTAAAGTATAAAATTAATAATTTGAATTAATATTTTCTTTTTTTTTTCAGTAAATTGGGAATAATTTTTATCATATATAATTGTGTGAAAATTTCACATAATATTATTAGTTGCAAATTTAAAAAAAAAAAA